TAGGGATGGGTGGCAATTATGACGATGACATTGGTGGGATGGTGGTTGGGTGGCTGGGAGTGGGTGGGTATAACGGCGACAATAGTGGCATGGTGATTAGTGGTGGGGTGGAGTAGGGTGGGGTGGGGATGAGTGGCAGTTGTGACACGGACAATAATGGTGTGGTTGTGGAGGTTAGGTTAGAGGCGTGACAATAACGGTAGTAGCATGGTCATAGCAGGGATGTGCAATGAGTGATCGGGGGGTGGGTGGGTGTGATGACAACAGTAGTGACATGGTGGTTAGTGGTGGGGTAGGGTAGGTGGCGGTGACAGTAGTGGTGTGGTGGTGGTAGTGGGGGGTTAGGGGTGGGGCATCACAAACACTAGTAGCATGGTCGTTGTGGGTGGTGATGGAATTCAATTCCTTCCATTATGCTAAAGAATGATGAATTCATTAACTTGTAGAATTCAATGGAATTTGAAGAATTCCATCCATTTCAAGGAATGAACCAAACAAAAGAATTAGAATTTGTCATTCCAATTCCTTCAAATTTCTTCGAATTCCGCAAACTAAACGACCCCTTAGAGTTGTTGACAATCCCACATTGCATGAATTAAGGATAAAAATGTGAAAGGAAGACCTATTGAAACCAAGGCCCAAGTAATAGAAAAGCATACCTTTTTTTGCTTTTGGCTAGTAATTATCTTTCTATAAAAATAAAGCTCATGCCATAGCGCAAAGTGTGCCATTGCATGAATCCCTCGGCTTGGCTTCAAGCTCAGCCACGAGAGCGCGTGTGTGTTGCACTTTCATATAACCCTCTACTTAGTGGTGTCAATTTATGTCATCACACTTGAATTCTTGAAATAGTTACGTTTATATTTTTAGCACTATTTTCGTAATGAAGCAAACCAAACTGTTCTAACTCTCCACCTTCATGAATTCGGTTACCATTTATGTCAGAGTCCGATGAGGATAAGTGACCCATGTTGACTCAATGACTCGACCATGGAAATGCCAAGGATCCAAGTCACATGAATTCATCAAGGTATCAAATCAAATTCAAGTTTATTTTTAAGACCAGTAAGCTTAAGCTCGAGCCTAGTCGAGTTTAAACTCCATTCTAATCATTAACTCGTAGACGTGAAGAATTCCATTAACATTAAACACACGACACTTTTCCTTGCATCCCTATAATTTGCTCATTATTATTCGATAATAATTCAAGCGAGTTTAAGTTGAAAATATATCTTGTACCATTATTTTATGAATATTACTTTTGCTTTGATATAAACATATATATATATATATATATATATATATATATATATATATATATATATATATATA